TAATTATCTTATAAAGCTTAATATAATTATCGAAAAGAGACTAATAATCGATATAATAATGATTCAAGAGATATACAAGAAATGGAAGATTATAGAGATCAAATGAATTAATAGAAAATCTAATCCAATAGATATGATAACTAAATCTAAATTGTATTAAGCCCTAAAGAACTTAATTAACAATAATATCATAAAGATTAAGGTTACGGAATAGATTGAAAGAGATTAATAACATAAATAGTTATACTAAAAAAAGAATATTAACTAGAAAAGACATAATACAATAATTTTAGAAAATCGTTAGTGTTGGGATAGGGATTATGTGACTAACCGTGCTAGTATATGCATTAGTATTTCTGTATTATAGTATATATATTTATAGTCTTTAGCTTTTAGAACCTTAAGCAATATTACAATAGTATAAATCATTAGTACTATATTACTTCACCATCCCCATGGTGATACCAACAAGTATAATGATATCTTTCTTTATAATCTCTTCAGAATTTCTATTAATTCTGAATACTATTTCTAAATATCTAATACTTTCTAGTAGAATCCAAGGCTCTAATTTGTAATATCACTAATTAGTATTGGTATCAATTTGGTGTTGATTAAAGTGTAAAGTATTTTATTCTTATTAATATAATTGATTGTATTATTCGTCTTGATTATTATTAACTATAGGAAGCTAGTACTTGATATAGTAGAAATGCTAGCACTAGTGCATACACTAGTATATACGCTAGTGCAATACAGTGCCCTCTTAGATCACATGATCGATATCCCGACAGTTAGGTCTCAGGACAATTTCGTACCACGATGTCCCCACCGTCCCCACCGTCTATGCCGAACCAAGTCACATTACAGACGAGACTAAGGACACATTAGGACTGCGTGCACGGCCTGTTCATCTAGATCTTACTTCAGACCTTAACCTTAATACACCTTATTAGATGAGATTTACTGAGAAATACGTCGTCCTCGAAACTTCTATGTCATAGTGAGGTGTGCGACATGTACATACGTACCTTCCTTGTATGCACAACACCAAAGGAGTATCTCTTCCCTCGAAGTATTATGAAAAGAACTCCCTTATAAGGTGAGATTACCAAAGTATAACGATGTGATATGTATGTGTATGGTTTCTATACTTTCCAGACTCCAGTGAGATCCAATTTTCGAAACTAGACCATTCACACCAAATCTGAGTAGGTTTGCTCTGTCAATATCTACTTGTTGTCCAGAGATTGTATACACATTGCGCGTTTCGAAACACCTTGAAAGTTGGCAATTAATAAATAACTTTACATGGTTCTTGAATACGCGGCTTTCTATCTTGGAACTCAGTTACATATCTGGGTATTTTTTCAATATCGTGTCGAACCCTTATGCAAATCATCATCGACCCATAGACCACATTGTTATTATCGGACTTTATCTTAAGGACCGAACTCGTTATTACATGAAACAAGAGAAGATCCTGAGTATTAAGCTCGGATCTAGATTATTTAGCGTACACTAATACCTTATCAGATTCACATGCGCAGTCGGTGATACATTAAATACAGGGGCGGTAGGATAGTTCCTGTAGTTAGTATTCTCTTGAAAAACGATCTCACGACCCCCTATTTAATTTAACAGCCGACGCGTCATCATCCCTGACAAGTCCAATGCGAATTGATAAGCGTTGATAACCGCTTTTACTTTCCTTTTTCAAGTTTAAATGACTTTTAAGAGTTCGCACAACAAGGGATGACTGTCCATTCATCGATAACATACGAATGAGCAAAACAGCGACGCATTGTGTAGGTCTATAAGGCTAATGCGAAAGAAGGATATCCTTGAACGAAGATTTTGTTACAGACTTTGACTTGTCTTTTCATCATTTCCCATGGTTCTTGATTTATCATCGTTCAAACCAGAAATGAGTATAACTTCATAGTCTCTCAGAAGATCTTTTGGTCAATCCGAGATTTACGTACTATGAGTGTGGCTGGCCGTTGGTTCTTACGGGTAAACAACCCCCCCCCGCTAATGGAAGGCGATTCACTCGCCTAGTTCGGTACTTGGGCGGTACTTGTACCGGTAGTACCCATTTTTCTTCAATGAACCAAGTATGGGGTATAAATGATCCCATTATTAGGATCCAATGATTCATTTGTATGTGCAGAGAGATTTCGCTAGTGGCATAACCAAAGCGGGGACACACAATTCATCTCGTGCACCTTCGTATGTTAGCCTACTCTTACACTCTTCAAAGATTCAACCTGAGTGACTTGATCTAGTCGAGCTACTTTCACTACCATCACCACTACTATTTTTAGACTTGTACTTTCCTATTACCCTCTCAGACAACTTTCTAGTATCAGCACTGAAAGGAGATATGCATTTATTTTCTGATTGTAGAGCTACAAAAGAATGCATTAAAAATCCCCTGGGGCTGACGAAATTGCCAAGACTACGACATGGAGACCCATTAGAGCTCACGTATCCGATTACGTGTCTTAATAACACGGGCGTTGTTCGCTTGATCTCAAGAAGCGAGGCCGTGTATGTACGTTGATAATAAATACTAGCCGGTGCAAATAATGAACATATAAGACTGGAGTTGGTCCTCGAACTAAAATCAACCGAACTCACTCCCAATTGACACCTTCATTTCTGCTCCTCTAATAGCTACATTCTTTTTCAAGCACCATGCGTCAGTCAATCGCTTTGGCTGCAGCCGGCGCTGCCACTGTTCAGGCTCTATCTCTAGCCGACATGTGCACAGTCGCAAACGTTCAAGCAGCGCTTCCTGCGGATGGATCCATTCCCAACATCACCATGATCGCATCATCTGTTTCTGCATCCCCTGTCTACAATGTGTCTCTTAGCGGCGGAATGGGCAAGCGCGACACAACTACTTACAGCTACTGTAACGTTACTGCTACTTATACCCACGGCAGTGATTCTGTTATTGTTTGGTACGGATTTCCAGATCCATCCATCTTCGAAAATCGTTTCTACGTCGCTGGTGGCGGTGGTTACAGTTTGTCAACAGGTGTCACTGGTGGTCTTGAATATGGCGCTGTTACTGGCTGTACTGATGCCGGCTACGATGCTTTCACTAACTCCTTGGACGCAGTTGTCCTCAACTCTGCTGGTACTCTTAACGAACAAAACATTAAGATGTTCTCCTACGAGGCCCTTGGTGAGATGACCGCCATCGGAAAGGCTATCACCAAGACTCTTTACAGTATTGATAAACTCTATACTTACTTCTCTGGCTGCTCTGACGGAGGACGTCAAGCTATGAGTCAGGTTCAACGTTTCGGAGATTTGTACGACGGTATCGCCGCCGGTGCCCCGGCTTTCAGACAAGCTCAGCAACAAGTTTTCCATCTCTTCTCTTCCGTCGCCGAAGTTGTTCAAAACTACTTCCCAACCAATTGCGCTCTTGACAAGATTGTAAATGCTACTATTGAAGTATGTGATCCATTGGACGGGCGTACTGACACGGTTATCAGTCGTTCTGATCTCTGTAAGATTAACTTTAACTTGACCTCTATCATTGGTCAATCATATGCATGCGCAGCTGAGACAAGCTCTTCTCTCGGTTTTGGTTTCAGCAAGCGTCAAGCTGCAGGTTCTACCACTACCAGTAGCCCTGCTAAAAATGGTACCATTAATGAGCAAGATATTGCTATTGCCCAGACTATCTATGATGGTCTCTTTACTTCTAGTGGCAAGCGTGCATATCTCTCATTCCAAATTGGTGCTGAGCTTGAGGATGCTGTTACTGAGTATGACAATACCACTGGCAGCTACACCTACGAGATCCCAGGTACCGGTGGAGTTTTCGTCGCCAAGTTCCTTGAGTAAATTGATGAAGACAGTCTTACCACACTCGAGAATGTTGATTACGATACTTTGTTCGAATGGATGGAAGAGGGATTGGCAAAATTCTACGACATCCTTCAAACTACCATGCCGGATATTTCCGCTTTCAGAGACAACGGTGCCAAGCTCCTACATTATCACGGAGAATCTGATCCATCAGTTCCAGCTGGCTCTTCCGTCCACTACTATGACTCTGTCCGCACTACCCTTTATCCAAGCCTCGGATACAACGAATCTGTCGCCAAACTCGATGACTTCTATCGTTTCTTTTACATTCCAGGAGCTGCTCACTGTAACACCAATTCCCTCCAACCGGGTCCATGGCCCAACGATGTTCTCGCCACTTTGATCAGCTGGGTCGAAGAAAGTAAGGTTCCTGACCGTTTGAACTCCACTGTTACCTCTGGATCATACGATGGTGAGGTTCAATTGTTGTGCAAGTGGCCAACTCGCCCACTCTGGACTTCCGAGACCGCATTTGACTGCGTTTACGACCAAGCGTCCATCGACTCTTGGACTTATGTCTTCGATGCGTTTAACCAAACAATCTATTAGATGGTGTGAACAAAAGTTTAATTGTCTGATGGAGGAGATTATTGAGCTTTCAAAAGGTCTACAAGAAGTGATCGGCTGTTTTCGTGGAGTGACTTTTTGAGCTGCCCTGGAATTTTTCCTGTATATATTCAAATTTTCCATCATTCCAATCCAAGTTTGATTAGGAGAGAAGGTATAACTTTTCCAAAACGCACCTTATCATACTTTGTATATAATCATACTCTATTTATTCTACTTCAAACCAATTCCGAGATGCATGGATCCCCAAGTCGTGAAGCTAACCCTTCAATTCAAACAATAGATTCTGATCGCGATCATAATATTGGATTAGAAATTTTGGCAATTATGACGAATAAAAGTGAGTACGGAATCAGAAACATACTTACTCCGCAGACCCTCATGTGCTTGGCAACCCCCAGAAAGAGTAAATTAAGCATATAAATAGACATTTCATTGGTACGCTGGATGCTTTGAGCTCTTCCTCAGACTGATGGACCACGGGGTATAAATTTATCATCATATAATTGACTTTCCCATTCCTTCATATCTTCTTTGCAACCTCAATCTCTGCAGGCACAGTCCTCCTTCTCCCCACCTCTCCTCCATCCCTTCCACAAATTAGGACATCTCCATGCAATTTTTTGATTTGAACATCCTAGCAAGATCCCCCATAATCTCTCAACAGTATATCCTAAATGCGGTTTCTCTAAACTATCTTTCTCACCAAACATCTTCGAATTCCTTCCTTCTGGACCCAATTTCAATCTATCGTGAGCCCAGCCCCTACTCAGTGAAGGGTTTGAGAGAGCATCATCCAGAGTTTCCCAGATGTCTTTCCCAACTCCCCGAATGCGCGCCGCTGAAGCAATGAAATTGTTCCCATGTGTTAAGATCACTTTTTGGCATCTATAAGGCGTCTCGTCCTTTCCAGCAGGACGAGATGCAGACCACATACTCGGGATGAGTCTAAATGTATCATTCCAGCCACTTTTATCATAACATCCATAACAATCACATGTTTCCAGTTCTCCTAAGTTGAGGAATCCAGTCAATATATCCGAGTTCTCTGCTGCTGGTGGTAGCTGAGCAGGGTTGTAATAATCGAATAATCGGCGACCGATGAGATCAAAATCATCGATTGTATGTTGAGACGTGGTGATGAAAAGAGTTTGAGTAGGTAAATTGTCCCAATTCTTTAATATATGATGAAGGAAAACGCCAGATGGACCTCCAACATTTGGAAGAGGAAATATATCCCCGAAACCCACTTCAACTCGAATTTTCTTCACAATGTCTTCGGATGGATCTTTCGTATAGATCAAAACATCTGGCTTATGAGCCACAACAGCAGGCTGTGAACTCAAAATTCCTGTTACTATTCCTTTAATTGCAGGAATTGAGTCACCAGCTGAATGGGCGATTACAATTTGTAGACGATTTTTTGTTGCCGCTCTGTAGATTGTATCCAGGGATGGAGACTTGGGGCCTGTCCAAAATTTCTGGTTGTGGCGGATAGAGATTGTATCCATCCAGTAAAGTATCCCCATCGAACTCAGGATAGTGAATAAAATGGTGGTGGTCCAGAGTAATATGGGTTTATGCCATGTTGAGTAAAGTTTTCGAGCTGGTATTCCAGATTTTCGTCGTATGGTGTAGACAAAATTCACGAATTTGGGAATGTAGAGGCTTATTTCTTTTGGCCCCAGACTAATAAGGTAGATAAGCATGAACACAAAGATTTGAAATCCGTTCATTGTGTTTTCTTCCTTGAATGTACTCATGAGCATTAGTCCCAAAGATAGATGAACTGTCGCATCAATTGCGTCGGGAACATTTTCTTCGGTGGATTCATAGGGTGACTTCGAACCGATAGAAAGTGCCAATGTTGATCGTAAAGGAGTATTCCAAAGAATATGAGTCAATGCTCCGGGGGTCAGATTCTTCACAAAGGTCAGGAATTCCCAAGTCCGAAGAACCGAAAATGCCTCTCCGAAGTCTTCATATCTGTACGCAGCGAAAATAGTGACGAGCAAACATGGAGGTAATCCACCCCAAAGCATAAAATAGAGTGAGGCTCCATAAGAAGGATTTCTGGGAGATGGTACTTGATATCCAATCGCTGCTATCGTCCTTGCCAGACTGACGAGAAACACACCGAGTATGGCAAACTGAAATGATTCGATATTGAGTCGATAATCATTGTAGACAATCATTGAGGCAAGACAAACGATGCCGAGAGCCCAAACAACAATGGCTCTGTCAAAGCCTTGATCACGAGGAAGTAATCGTAAGTCATATGCTAGACTAAATAGTAAAGCATCGAACGCATATATGAGTATCTGTTGGAGTGTCAGAAAATGCGAACAGGAAAATGAAGAGTCTATTCACTAATAATGTAGCAAACACGGCCAAATTGTTGAAAAGCATGATCGCTTCCGCGTTGTATATTAAAGCGACCATCGAAATGAATACCGTGAGGCAGTATCTAGTAAGAACGAAAAGACTTTGCAAAAATGACGGACCGCGACTAGGGTTTAGATCCGGGACGCTCGTGAAGTAGTCGACAAAACTTGTCAAGACCGCGAAAATGCCCAAGCCAACGTATGCAGCGATTTGCAATAAAACGAGAAAACATATTGCTAATCACGAGTAAGTCATCTGATTGAGAAGGGTAGTTCTTCTGAATGAAGAGGGGGATTTGAATTAGGGAGGAGCAAAACTCACGGTATCCTAAAAAAGGACTGTCAGCATTGTTCAGGCAAAAAGAATTGAGTACAGAGTCATACGAAAATCCGCGATCAGAAGCCTCCTCGTCGTGAGTATAGACCAAATACTAAATCCTATCCAAATCCTGGATTGTTCACTTTAGCCCTATTCAAACAAACCTCAAGAGGATATACATACCAAGGATTTATGATTCGCCATTTTCGTCTCCATCTTCCATTCTCCGGGCGGATCGGAATTTTCTCTAATGCTTCTTCCTCATCCCTTCTCATAAGTTCATAATCATTACTGCCATCCCTTTCATCAAGTTCCCTTTCTTCCATTGCTGCTACTACCACTCCCAATATTGGAGGATTTGATACACATCGCCTAGAGACTGTGGTTTGTTTTGTTGTTGTTATTGATGGTGATGTAAATTAAATAAACTTTGGTCCCACCCACTATCTAGTGTATATCCTAGTAAAAATCAGTGGACGGACGGCTGGGTCTACTCTGTAGGACTGTAGAAGCAATTCGGAGAAAGATTTGATCAACAACCAGTGCAGTAAATGATACAAAATTCAATGTCTGGCTCTCGAACCCATTTCTAGGGACGCTTTGCTCAAGCCTTCAAAAGAAGAGTCGCTAGCAAGTCGCGATCAAGATTCAAGCTTCATCAAACGCGTAAGCTTCCAATCATTCTAGCTGGCCATTCACTATTGTTGCCCAGGTATTAAGAAACTAGACGTTACTGTGTGATGTAGGTACCTCTTCGACCTTCAATTTCTCTAGCAAGATTACATTTCATCACTAGAATATGGTAAATATGATTCGTGAATATTGGGTTGAGATGGGGATAATTTATTGTGATCACGTGATTCTAAGTCAATTTTGGAGTGCGTCCTGGCAAAAATTTCTCTTTCTCTAGATCACTCTCATCAACAACAAACAAAAGTTTCGATTACTTCCACAGAACTGAATCAATGGCTAAAGTAGCAAGACTACAAAGTCTACTTCCTCGATCACGAATTTTCCGAGAGGAAGATCCTTGGGCTCTTGTACGTTTCATGAAATGCGGACCTAGGAAGCAACCTCGTAATGAGGCAGAATGGGCCCATCACTTCCTGAAGAAAAGCTCTCGACTAGTTTTGACACTTGATATGAGCAGTGAAGCAACAGATTTTCGCAATCAACTCAAGGCAAAATATCTTCATCCATGGGGAGGTTTTCCGGATACCCGATTCGAACTTATAGATCCCTTACCTGACCGCCATTTTTATGTAAAGATGTACAAAGATACAATCAATGACTTTTGTGCAAGAGGTCCACCAGAATTTCCTGTCGGTCCAACATTGAACTTTTTTGTTTCCGAGCAATCTAGACTCTCTGGTCTAGTTGAGCATGTATACCCAAAAGAATCCATTCAGGGAAAGCGGGTTGTATCCAAGGAACCAACTGAGGGGCATTTCTTGATTGTGGCGAGTTTTCCCAGAGGATCGGTGGTTCACCTACTTCGTGATTATTTCATAAAGGAACTCGGCAAGTTTCCAAACGAGGAAGTCCAAAGAGTAATGAAGAACGTGGGAAAGGAAAAATTCAGAGTTCAAATGCCATTAGGATATTGTACACATATGGGAAAGCTGCGTGCTGAAGAAACAAAGGACGAAGTCGCGCGTGAATTTGTAGGAACTGAGGGTCTTCACTTGGGCACTGCTGTGAGTTTAAGTTTATGGCGCAAGCATTACGACGAAGATCCGGAAGATAAATGGGGTGATCCGGTGCTGGTGGATCAGGAATGTGTATATTCAAAAGCGCTTGAAGAAATATCAAAAAAGCCTTCATCCTCGTTTGTTTCTATCGCTCCCGAGAAACAGTTTATGAAGGAAACTCAGAAAGCGGCGATAGTACCTAAAGTTTGACGTCAAGCTCCAATATTTCGAATTGAAGGAAGGTTGGACTGTGGAGAGTTTGATTCGAAAAAGAAATTAAAAATGCGCAAATTCATCTAAGAATTTGCAGTTGTTCATCAAAGAGGAAAACTGAAGGAACGGCCTGCGGTGAGAAGTACTGTCTCTTAGTATAGGCAAGGTTCACTTGGGTAGGAGAGCGTTGTTGAAGGACCCGCTGCAAGAAACCACCCAAGTCATCTCGAATTTGTTACGTGAGCACGCTCGAAGGGAATTTCTGGCAAGTTATGGATTGTGTGAGAAGTTATGGGAGATGCAAAGCATAAGGGCATCACACAGAACGAAAAATTTTCCCTCGAGTAATCAAATACAATTAATCCAAGGGATATAACCACCGACGGTAGTGCAGGATTGAGTGTGAGACAGGCTATACATGTTTGGTTAGGACGTCAACATTTACTATGTTAGTCAGTGATGAGGCTAAGATGGTATAATACATGGACATAATTCTGATAGAAAACCATCTTCGGGAGATCAAGACCATTTCGAGAACTTAGTTGGCCAATATGTACATTATCCCTTCATAGATGAGCCCAAGGAATCTCGCAAGTTTAGGGGAGAGTGAGGATACCATATGATTGAAGTGTGAATCCAGTCAGATGCATACCCTCAGAGTACATTGTTTTTGTCTTGGTTCTACCAAATTGTCCGCAATCTGGTATTGGAACATTTCCAAAGCAATTTGATAGATGCCGTGTAATTTTACTAATTGTCCAATATCAAGTATAAGGGCGATGGATATCCTGAGGATAGAAACAATTACAATGCCCACGAAGTCGAGAACATTGGTACAGAAATTTGATGGCGGGAATGGAAACAGCAAGAAATCACCCGGTGGATCTATTATTACTGTATCATGAATCGTGTAAATTCTAAAATCTATGTCTTTTGACTCTTATCTATCCCACATATCTACCTAGTATACAAATATTAATCGCTCAGCAAACTCCATATGGTTGAGCCTCCTGGGTCCAATCAATAAACCCATACTCTTTATACTCTTTATTAGTAGCCATCTTTGCGCCCCAAACACCCATCTCTTTCTTGAAAATCTCTACATTCTTTTCAATGCTCAAATCAATAGGTTCCTGATCCTTTCCAACCTGTCTCATTTGAGTACCAGCCGCAATGTTAGTGAACAAGAAATCATTTTCATCCACAGCCATCTTCTTAGCACCAGTAACTCTTCCCTCCAAGATATCCTTTGGAAGTCTGAACTCTTGAGCTGCAGGTCGTCCAATACCAACACCATCAACGGTATCCAATGCGGAAACCATAGCACCAACAGTCTTGAATCCACCAGTAACATATGTCTTGGTCTTAGTCAAAGGCTTGACAATCTCCTCTGCGAATTCAATAAAGAAGTTCTCTCTCTTCTTGGTTGACTCGCGCTTGTGAACAAAAGCAGTTTCTTGGTATGTTCCACCGGAAAGTTCAACGTAATCAAATCTTGCACCCTCGAGTGCTTGACAAGCAGCCTTAGCATCTTCAGGTGTGAACCCATCTTCTTGGAATTCAACACTGTTCATCTTGATACCAACGATGAAGTCTGGCTTGACTCTCTTATGGATTTCATCTGCGATTTCTTGAATGATACGGAATCTGTTCTCGAGAGAGCCACCATATTTGTCGGTTCTCTTGTTTGTAGTCTTGGAGAGGAATTGAGCGAGGAGGTAACCGTGGGCACCGTGGAGTTGAATTCCATCAAAACCGGCTTTCTCGAGGTATTCCGCTGCGTGAGCGAACTTATCGATTATACTGTCGATATCCTCTTGGGTTGCTGGACGTGGCTTATTATAGGACAATCCCATAGCGTTTCCTGTACGATCATTCTTGTTAGTATAGACTCGACCAATACGTGAGATAACACTTGGGAAAAGCAGATGAAACAAACCTTCTAGCTGAACATCACTTGCAGAAATAGGATTTGGTTGAACCCTATTCTCGACCTGGCGTCCAGGATGACTGACTTGTGCAACCATTAAACTTCCGTGAGCTTTTCCTGCCTTTGCCATTGCTGCGAATCTTTCGAATCGTTCTCCTTCGAATGGAGCTTCTAGTGGAATAATTGGGTTACCCATAGCTTCCAAATGATCATATTCAATCATGACGTTTCCAGTCAAGATTTGTCCGTATTCTCCCTCGCCCCATCTCTTGTAGACATTGACGAGGTTTGTGGATGGAATTCCTCTAGATTTGAAGTCCTTTGGGTCCCATGATGATTGACGTTCACTCATAGCTCCCTTCAAAAATCGATTTCGTGCAACTTTGCCGGAAAATTCATATTTGAGAGGCTTTCCGAGAGGAGAAGCGTCAGAGCTGGATGATTCGTATCTGATAGACATCTTGCTAATATTTTATATGCTGATAGTATTGATTAAGTATGAAAGAATGTAATTTAAGCAAAAAAATACTTATCAAGTTCTTCGGGGGACTTTTTTATATTATGTCCCAGCATCGCTCTCAAACAGTAGTGCCGGAGCTCAAGTGGATACAAAATCGTGTACATTTCGAATCATGTATATTTCAAATCAGATTTGGATTTCTAATTGTACGGAGTATGGAGCATTTCCTCAGTTCCATTTAGACGCATAAAGGTAACTGACCAATCAAGAAAGGAAATGGGAGGGGCATTTGTAGAAAATGCCATGAAAATGACGGTTAAAGGGCCACATGAAGGTTGGAGCGGAATTTTTAACCCTTCGGCTTTTGGTGACAACATTTGGAACTAGCCTGTGGGTTTTCTCCACTATCACTAGTAATGGAAGTTTCTCGAGGGTCTTTCGGTGGCCAACTTTGCCTCGGATGATATTGTTGTACCGAATGCCTTCTGTCAGACTGTGTAGAATAAATTGACTGGAATTAAATGAAAAATGGAAACGGGGAACAAATATAAAAGGGGCTTTTCGCTTGAAGTCAGCACAAAGTGTCATCTACAAGATATCATCATAGATAATTGAAATTTCTGAACTTAAAATCCTTTCTATATTTGATCCAATGTCTTCATATCCAGTCCTTGAAAGAGATAAAATACATATGACATATAAATAAAATGATTCAGACTTTTCAGTGCATGATGCGTTCCATGTATCCCAAGTTGATTACCAATAAACGCCAATTTACACCGCCGTGATGTTCAGCTCAATGCGTAGCCCAAAGCCCATTACAAATCGAAATCTCATGCCGCTCGAGGGGAGGTGATTTTTATTGTTTCGCCATTTCGTTGGAAGATGGTAATGATGTCTCAAAATTGATTTATCATGACGCTTCGTTCATCTGAAGCATGTGTCCCATCTTCTCAATCTACAAAGTACGCATGTTAGATCAAATCCCATTTCACATACGCTTTAGAGTATAACATACCTTAGTTTTTAGAT